GGCACCTTGTGGTTTGCAAGTCCATTGCTTATCTATGGATCCACTGAGTTCCCAATATTTGGATGCAGTTATGTGTGGTGTGGTGCACTGGCCCCGTTTGGTTGGTTTAAATTGGAAGGTTGACTGCTCCTCGAAAATCTATATTATAGAGTCATTGTGAGTCAGAACTGACTGGACAGCACTTAACATGATTATTTATAACCTACAGCAGCCCTAAGTGACAAGTGGTGGTGATGTGGTAAATGCAGTGGAGTCGGTTCCGACTCGTAGCAGCCCTGTATAGGGAGGATTCCAAGGAGCGCCTGCTGGATTTGAACTGCCAACCTTTCAGTCTAATGTTGATCTTACAGTGCCACACCTGGATAAGTGGTAGTACCTCCATTTTCTCGATGAGGAAACAAAGCAAAGGCTGAGATACTAAGACTAGTTCAAATGACCATCTGGTGCTTTTTAGACAAACTCTATCCCCACTCACTCCCCATCTTTCTGGCCTCAGCCCCACTGCCAAGCACTATTGGCTCCCCAACTGTGCATCACGCTGGGTGGCATGCTGCAGGCTGATGTCACTCAACTGCACACTTGCCGCCATTTCCAGGGAACATCTCTGGCTGTAGGGGGCAGATACACCTTCAGAACCTGTCCTCTGAACCACAGCGGTCTTCCTCAGCCTGGGCATCATTCCACTCAGACTTGGCGCACCCAATGCTCCACACTCTACCTGCTGGCTCCCTCTCAGAGGCCCAGTTCCCAGAACTTCTCAGAGTCTCATCAGCTAAGTTAGGCCCCACCCACAGCCCGGGTTCTGGTTCTTTTCCCCAGCATCCTGCCAGAGGTCCCTTCCGACTGGAAGCCCACTTCCAGGATAACCGTAGGTGACTGCGTGTAATTCCAGAAGCTGAAGCCATTCCAGAAGTAAGCTGTGTCTGGGTCTTCAGAGTTTGGGGATGTCTTCTCTAGGTTCATGGAGGCACCTGCAGTGGGGCAGAGGCAGAGATGAAGCTCCTGAGACTTCTGAACTGGAGGCTCTGTTTGTTGCAGTCTCTAACAATGTAATGTCAAGGCCTTACCCACGGAGCTCAGCGCATAGTCGGGTTTCGCCACGAAGTCCTTACTCAGCCTCTGGAACATAAGCTTGGCAATTCTCTAAAAAGAGCGAGGGTGGGGTTCGAGAACCATTTTCTGGGTAGGCAGGTTTCTCTGAGGACAGGGTTCTCTGGAACGGACTTGGTGTCTCTGGGATCTGGTTCCAGGACCCAGGATTTAGGGAGTTCCTGCAATGGGCTGGAGCTTGGCGCTCACCTCGCTGTTGGCAGCGCGAATGAATGCTGGACACTTTGTGGAGTTTACCCAGTTTAGCCTTGAGCAGCCACAGCTGCTGCCCCTGGGAGTGCACGGTCTCGCGGTATTCCCTGTAGGAAGTAAAGGTTCAGATACTCCCTCTCCTTCTGGAGGCCTCCCCTAGAGCCACCCCCCGCCCCAAACACCTTTGAGCCCACAATGCCCATCCCCAGGTGCCCTGTTTCACCTCATAGGCAGCATCTCCTTAGGTTCCTAGTGGAGCAGGGGGGAGGGGGAGAGAACGCAAAATACAGCCACTCAGTTCCCCCCTTCCCAAATCCTCCCACACCAGCCTCATAGTAGTCAGATTCAGCGCCCTATTTTTGAGGACTTTCATCCTCACACTCTTCCCTGGCCTCCCAGATTCACAGCCTCAGAGCCTTCCAACTGCCCCCCAGCACCTTTAGGTAAAATCTTTCAGGAACCTGAGGCTCATTATCTGGCCTCCCTCCCAGAAAGCTCCGGGTCGGTCTCAGGACCTGCCTGCCGCCTCCCAGAATAGTCTCCCCACTTACATTTTCCAAAGGAGGGACCAGATACAGGAGTTCCCACCAGAGCGCTGGAGAAAGAGGGGAATTTCAGAGGAAGGGACAGAGAAGAGGCTGGAGGGGATCCAACCTGGGGCGGACTATGAGGGTCTGAGTGGGGACTGCAGGAGGTTAAGGGGCGTGAGGGAAAACAGGGCTCTGTCTAGTTCCCGAGCATCCCGACCCAGAGAATTCAGCATCCCCTTATACCTGCCAGAAAGAAGCTCAGCAGCCACACATTCAAGATCAAAAAACAGAAGGACCACACCTCCCTGAGGGGACCAGAAACAGGCTGAGGTCACCTCCAGCAACCCCCACCGGGCAACCTGAGATCCAGCTCCGCCCCCAGCCCTGCTCCCCTCCCGCCAACAAAAAGCAGT